ACTACTACTACTACTACTACTAGACCCTACTACTACTACTACCACTGCCACTGCCACTGCCACTGCCAGTGCTACTGCCACTGCCACTGCCACTGCCACTACCACTACCACTACCACTACCCCTACTACCACCGCCACTACTGCTACTACTAGCCACTCCACCCTCCTACCAAATACTTGGTGCATAAGCCATCATCATCATCATCGTTGGTGTTGACTACAACATCACGAACTGTAAAAATACCGAATAAAATGGACGTGCTCTTTAAAAGTACGTCATCACCCCCCACCTCCCCCATGCCCCCCCAACCACCCCTCACCCCCCCCCCTCCCCTGCCCCCGAGATGTAACCTGGGTGTGTATCCCTCGCAGAGCGGACAGGAACACAGGCAAACGCAGGTGTCTCTTTTTACTACAGACGCACAGCTGTGGATCAGCACTTTGCTAGAACCTTGAGCAACAGGCATGGATACGTGCAAGTGATACGTGAAACAGACAGGCACCTGGACGTGTAACATTCAGTGTGTCAACGAGGCACGAATTTAAAAAACTGGAGAGCTGCATGGCCGTGAAGTCGGCATTCTACATTGCCCGTTCGGGCCCAAGCGAATTAAAAGCGGAGTAACACACTGAGCTACAAAAGTGACTTGCGAGAATCTGTACGTCCTCAGCCTGGAGACAGCTTTATGAAATGAGCAGAACGCGCAAACAAGACGCAAACGGATCTTCGTTTAAAAGTCTTGCCCGAAATATACCACATGTTCAGTTCCCGCTCCAGACAGAGAGCTTACCTCACAGGAATGTAGAGCTTAGCTCCACTTGATGCCAGCAAGGCAATTGCGGCTCGAGAGAATCGCATAGGAATCTGATTAGACTATCTCAAATGGGGAGTGTCGCATTTGTCTTTTGGGCAATGAGGTTTTCTGAAGTACCTTTTCCTGTGAAAAGCATCAGGCAGTAAAGAAGGATACCTTCTCCTGTGAGAAACATTCCGTTAACGAACTTAGTCAATCACATCAGCGTCATGATCCCAGATACGCTTACGAGTCCCATCGCCAAACCAGCGGTAGTTGTCAACTTCGACGATGACAGCAGGTTGAAGGTGTGCGAAAGGGTCGGGCCGAACAGGATCCCGAGGCATTGGTCCGTAGAACATCGGAGTCAGAATCTAGTCAGCTCTTTCCTTTGCCTTTGCCTTTGCCCTTGGAGGACTTGCCTCCTTTGCCACCTTTTGCTTTGCCACCAGGAGGTTGTGCGGGTTCGGCTGGACGTTGCTCCCTCTCCCTGTGGAGAGCCTGTGCCAGTAGGTGTTGGCTGTGTAGGATCGGCAGATCCACGAGCTTTGTTCGCCTGTCGTCTGTCGGCTGCCTCCTTGACCGTTTCGGGATTACGGTTCATCGCTCTCATCCTCCCACCAGTGTACTGGTTCGCATGGGCCTCGATGAAGAGAGGAATGTGAGCGTCATAGTCCCGGTCTGAAAGGAGGTAGGCCACCGAGGTGGAATTCAGAAGCCATTCGGAGATGCTGACCTTGTATTCCAGCTGACCAGAAGGAGCTTGAGGCCACCTTCGGCCCCTTCCCTGGCGCTGGCCTAGGCTTGGCCTCAGAGCTGGCACCTGGTACGTCTCCCTGTGGAGAGCCTCCATTCCCTCCATTGCAGAAGCAGAAGCAGAAGCCGACCTCTTCATGTGAAGAACCCACCCCTGCTTCATGTTGCTTCTTCTTAGCGCAAGCCACCAGGATCACGGGCAGGATCCCGAGCCTTGGCCGGCACCGTGGTTTTACTCTCGATACCAGCAAGCAGTATCCTAAAGACTGTCCTACCTTTCCAAGACTCAGAAGCCTTCGTGGTAGGACGCTCACTGACCTTCCAGTCATCTTCTTGAGTAACAATCTTGCTCTTGGAGAACTCCATAATCGTCTTGCGCTGGGTGTCCAGGGACTCCAAGAGAATCGGCGTATGTCCTTCCTTGGGTTCGTACTTTGCCTTCCTCATCTGCCTGTGGACACGAATGAGCTCCATATTTGCTTCGTCAATCACCCACTCATCATCTGTCGCAAAAACGGAGTCTTCGGGTTCCTCTTCCAGAGAAGAGCTTCCCACGGTCTTCTGATGGAAGCCATACTCGTAGTGCGAGAAACAGGTGAGGAAGCCTGACTTCTTGCGCTTGTCGAAACGAACGTGCCGCATAAACTGACTCAGATCGAGAAGGTCATGCACAAGATGTGAGCTTGGCGCTACGCGAAGGCTCACATTCCTGATTCCCAGTGCCGGACTACTGAGATACGCCTTGTCTGGATGGAGTTCAAATTCAAACTAGAACCTGAGATTGTGCATCTGCGGCAAGGACATGAGTGTCGGAACATGACCTTGCTCCACAATGTCAAACTCTGTGGACTGAACCATGTACTCCCTGTCGTACACGCAGACAATCAACTTCTGGCTGCGCTTTGTCGACTCGGAGTTGGCAAAAGTAAACTGTACAGTGAGAAGTGGTCTTAGCTACCGCGCGTGTACCAAATGCCACAGTCGTTGTTCTGGTCGCAGAACTTCACCAGGTCCTGCACGGCCACTCGCGAAGTCATCGCCCTCGTGCATCCCAAGTCCAACACCATCGAAGTCGGTGTCAGCAGCGGCGGCAAAGTGCGCTGCTCCGTTCTTGGAGCTGGACTTCCCGTCCTTTCCATCTTTTCCGTACTTGCCTTTCCCTTTGCCCTTCTTACTTTTCTTTTCTCCTTTGCCCTTGGCTGCATAGGACTGTTCAGAAGGGATCTTGCCATTGACTGTCATGCCATTGTCCTTCTGCTTGCCAGGCATCCGGATGATCATCCGTTCGACCTGCCTTTTGAAGCGTCTTCCTCTGGATCCTTTGCCGCCTTTTCCTTTGCCTTTGCGGCGGCCCTTAAATCCACGCTTCATCTTTCGTCCTTGGAAACGTCTTTGGGACCATGTGTAGTGCTCATCGTCGCAGACCCAGAAAGTGTCGTCATCTGCTTCAAGGAAACCATCTGCGCCATCCTCTTCGTCCTCGACCCAGTAGCCGTCGTGATTGTCCAGTTAGCCTTCCTCGATCACAAGAAAAGTCTTTCGGCCACCATGGCCTGAGGGAGCGAGGAGAGGATTATCGACGGAAGTCTTGGTAGTGCAGAAGATCTCCAGATAGACCTCATGAAGCCCGTTCAGGCGGCAGTCTGCGCATGCGGCTCCGATGGGCCATCAGCGATGTCAGCACCTGTCGTTGATCCTGTGTAAGGTCGGACAGGGAGACAAAGATGAGGGCAACAAGGTTGGCCGTGATTGGAACTGTCCGTGCGTGCTGATCTCTGCGCCTCACATTGGCTCTTTCCATTGTCTCTTCGTTGGTAAGGCCATCTTGTTCTTCTGCTGGGAGTCCTGCTACGAATGCTCGGACCTCGGCGTTGTTCGGGTCCGTGATCGGAAGGTAGGTGTCATTCCAGGCTTCCTGCATCCTTTGCACAGAGAGTTGAAACCTGGTAATCCANNCACGGTGCAAGTTCATGAACTGCTGGAAACGGTAGAGGAACACATTGGCTGCACCCTTCAGGAAGAGCGGCCGCAGGAAACTGTTGAAGTACTTGTGTGAATCGCTGCTTCACCTTCCAAGCGATTGCGCAAAGCTGATCCTCGTTTGTCATTGTCCAACTCAATGATATCATCCCAGTCATCGATCGCATCCTCGTAGGCGAATCAATGGCTTGGCTTGTCATAAGACGGCGGTACTTTGGTGGTCACCTGCACGGTGTAATTCTTGAAGATGATTGTGATTCGTCGAATATGATTCAGTACCCATTAAAGGAGGTCATCATCATCTCCTTCGCCATGCTCAAACGGCACAGCAGAGTGGCTAGCCATTGCGGTGTCCACGGATCGTGCCCCGGGAGATTACTCTTCCGGATATCTTCACCTGAGCGAACTGTGCCGGAGAGACTCCGCTCACCTTCGCAGGGGTGAAGCACACAGGAAATCCGGTGGCCTCCACTGTGCTGGAGCGTACCAACGGGCATCTCCACCAGTCGGAAGCTTCCCGTTTGCCGGGAGCTCCGCTACCACGTTGAGATGTAACCTGGGCGTATCCCCTCGCAGCATACAGGAACAAAGGCAACGCAGGAGTCACTTTTTACTACAGGCGCACGGCTGTAGATCAGTACTCTGCTAGAACCTTGAGCAACAGGCATGGATACATGCAAGTCATACGTGAAACGGACAGGCACCTGGATGATTCAGTGTTTCACCCCCCCAGCCCTCTTCAGCGGTGCTTGGTATTGGACTGATATCACGAAAGTACTGTGAATACGGAGTAAAATGGATGCGCACTTAAACAGTGTTTAGGAGAGGTAGTTGGTAGCGGGGGCACCTACTACTACTACTACTCCTGCTGCTGCTGCTGCTACTACTACTACTACTACTACAACTACAACTACAACAACAACAACTACTACTACTACTGCTGCTGCTACTACTACTACAACAACAACAACTACTACTACTACTACTACTACTATTTCTGCTACTACTACGATTCCTCTCGCTGCGAGTGAACTGAACTGAACTGA